ACTGTTGAAATTAACTCTTTGATTCATGAACCTCTGTTGCAGAGGCAATGTCTATTCTAGGGTCGACAACTGATTCATTTACATGTTTGAATCTGAACTCATTTGCAATTGGTTGCAAGCTTTTACAGGTAAAGGAGATACATCCATAGTGGCAGAATGGTAAATATTATTTATAAAAGATTAGCGAAAAAGTTGCTCACTTTCTATGCAATTAAACATATTCTTCATTTGATTTTAGGAGCGAGGTTCATGATCCCTCATAATTCTATTGCTCATGTAATCTTTGACGAATTTTTGTTTAATTGAATTTCTACCATTTTACCTTAAAATAAAAAGTAAAATAACTTAAACCAAAACAAAAATATAGCCAACATTAAAAATTCAAGAAAAATATGATAAGAAACATTTCTGGACAACTTGAAATTAGCGTTTGTAATTTCCATTATTTGTTATGTCTTGAATTTTGATCTTCTAATGAAATATGATTAAAAATATATTAAAATCAAAAAAAAAATATAGCATTAATTCTAAGGTTCTCTCCTTTTTAAATGGTACCCCTATTAATCTATTTGGCCTAGCCACTCTTGTTCATTGCCATTTTCTTGTTTTCTTGTAATTTATTCTCTTTTAAATTGACCTTCCTCTTCATCTATTTTGCTAGCACTCTTAACTCTGTCACACTATTTTTTTTTTTTTTTTTTTTTGAAATTATGTACTTTTTAAATTTCACTCATAGGATTCAAGCCTTATCTTTTTTTTTTTTTTTTTTTTTTTGAAAAGTTATGTACTTTTTAAATTTCACTCATAGATTCAAGCCTCATCTTTATTGGATGTTACTTTTGGAGCTAGCTAAGCAGACTACCGAACAATAAAGAGATGAATTGAATGTGAACGTGATTAGCAAAAAAAATGACTAGGAGCTTGTACGAAAAGAAGTGGTTGATGCTATGAATAACTTGGAGCCTAATTTATGAGCAGGATCAAATCAGGACGGACAATAGTTGGCTCAAGACTAGGCTAGGCAAGAGAATCACCCTAATATAGCCATTTATGATGTACCCCCAAATTGAAGGGTTTTTTTTTTTTTTATATATATATGTATATATTTTTTTCTCTAATGAAATTTCATATTTCTTTTTCTAAAGGCCTTTGATTTTGAGTTCTCTAACTCATTTTTATCTTGAGCTTACTTAGGCTCAGATTTTAAATGTTGCACACGCTAATTTTAGAGCTTCTGCCATTTTGCTTTGTACTTTTATTTCCTTTTTGTTTAAAAGTTAGTATAATATGAACGGACAAGTTAGTATAAGTGAGATGATAAATTATAATCAGTAACTTCTTTATTCTTTTTTTTTGTGAATCGTTTTCCGCAACATCAATTGCTCAAGCATATCGTGTTTTGGATGTATAATTTGTCCAAGTGAAGTGTAGTCTACTGAATCTTGTGGGTGATTGTCTTTTTACGAAATCGTCATTCTTCCTTTCTTGTGGAGCTTTGGTATGTGCTTACTGGATTTTTCAAGCCTCATCTAGTCGAGCATAGTTGTTTGCTCTAGACATTAATTTTGCAAAAGAAAGCGGAGGATCAATATTAATGGAATCAAACAGTTTTCCTTACCTACAATTTTTTGACATTACGCAAATGACCACTTCTGTATTTAGGTCCTTAATTTGCATAGTCAATTTTTGAAATTTATTAAGGTACTCCTTGAGTAATTCTCCATCAGCCCTTTTTAAATCAATCAGGTCTGATGAGATCTTTTTACTTGGAATACGTGTGACAAACTGACTATTAAAGGCAAAAGCTAGTTGAACAAGGATGCAATTGATCATGTTTTGAGCATTTGGTACCACTCATGTGTTGGTCCCTTCAAAATTGCTGAAAATGCTCGACATAATAGAGCATCTGTAGTTGTCCGAATGTGCATTATTGTCTACAAGTTAGCTATGTTACTTCTTGGATCTGTTGTGCCATCATATTTTAAAATGCTAGCATCTTGAATTTTGATGAAAAAGATATTGTCAGCACCTCCCGTGATAATGGAGAGACAATTCTGAGTCCATAATCACTACTATTTCCTACCACTCTATATTCTTTAAGGATCTCTCTGATTCTTGCTTGGAAATTTTCTTTGCTCACCTCTTTTGGAACATTTGTAGTGTTCCTGATATATGTTGTTTCTGTCTTCCAAGACGACTCAATTTCTTCTACCATATATGCTCGCTCTTCCTCTTCTCTAACAACCCGTCTCCCATTTCATAGCGAATATTCTTTGTGCTGGAAAGGTTGAGACAAAGGCTGAGAGTACATAAACCGCTCCAAAATTGATGCAAAATTATTATAGGCTTCTGCTAAGACTTTTTCCACTTGTGGATATGTTACGGGTGGAGGATTGGAAGCAGATGGGGTATCATTCTGGGTGTGATCATTTGGATTGACTACTTTGAAGTTAGGTTTGGAGTAGACTCTATTCCTGTATTTTGAGCACCATTGGGCAGATCCTGCGACTCATTGGATGTCATTTCTGAGATGATTTTGGGAGAAAGAGATTGAATAACTTAGGTGTGTTCCATGCTCACAGCACCAAATTGATAGAAGTAAAATATGAATATTCAGAAATTGCTTTTACATGTAATATGTCTTCAATGGGATGTGATACAAACATTTATATTGTGCTTCCTATTGTAATTGAAGATGTAAATATCGAATAAAAATCCCGGTCATAAATGTCAAATCAGAATCTTGGGCATTAATTACATGGTTAAATAATTCTTTGACCAAATTTTACCATTATTTAAACTGATTTGAGTAACCCTCGGTCCATTTAATTGTTCATTCCATTTTATCAATTGCTCCTATCACTGAACAAATTAAAAAGAGTAGGTAAAATTGAAAAAGAATGTAGACTTTAGTATATTATTAGCAATATCTTAATTTTTTGTTACCTTGAAGTCGTATACGGAGATTGTCATTCTTATTAGATATTGACACACATCCATACACACATATAATGACAGAGCTAGAAAGTAAAGTTAAGGGGAGTTAAAAAAAGATTTAAGAATTAAGGGAGAAAAATTTGAAAAAAATTTATTATTTTAAAGGGTAAAATAAAAATTTTCAATATTTTATATTATATATCTTGTTATTTGGGTTAAAAATAACACTGTAGATGATAAAGGGATGCTTATTTTCTTTTTTAAACTATTTTGATATTCGAAGTCTATTAGCACAACTATTATAAATTAGCAAATATAAATTTTTCAAAAATTAGAGATGCCATTAAAATATATAAAAAAATTTAGAATAAAATAAACCTAATTAAATATCTTTCTACTACGAGTATTGTCATTTTTATTTGCAAAAAAAAAAAAAAAAAAAAAAAAAAAAAAAAAATCAAAACCATAAAGAATTGTCTGGTTTGAGAATGGGTAAAACTTCAATTTATAATTTATACCATGGTTTTAATTAAATATTGAAAACTAGTCATTTTTTCTAAAAAAATAAAAAAAAAAAAAAAAAAATCAAAACCATAAAGAATTGTCTGTTGAAATGGGAAAACCTTTCAATTTATCTTTATACCATGGTTCTAATTAAATATTGAAAACTAGTCATTTTCTAAAAAAATTTTTGCTGTTAGAAAAACAATAATTATCATTTACTTTACAATTTTGTAATATAAGACTTGCAAAAAAATATAGATAATTTTGGATACTTTACATACTAATATTTAATTAAAAAATAAAAATAAAAATAATAATTAAGGTCTTGTAGCTCAGTTGGTTAGAGCGTTGATCTTATGAGCCGAAGGTCGCGGGTTCGAGCCCCACCAGGACCATAGGCATTATTGATATTTCTAGCTAGTCTTTTGTTTAAATGGCTTTATAATTTTTTATCATGCAAAAATAATTATAATAATGAATGATAGAAAATAAAACATTGGTAAAAGATTGTTGTTACTAAAATAATAATAATTAAATTGAATCAGTAAAAATAATTTAGCTTGAATAATTTAATTCATCGAATGTTTAGCCTTATTTAATATGGATAAGAACGGCAATAAGACCGGTTGAAAATGATATTGTAATTTTCATTTTCCCTTAGCAATTACGGTAGAAAACAACATGTTAAAGTGAAATTGATCTCCAAGTTGCGTGTGTCATTGAATGAAAATATTTTCTAAAAAAAAAAAATGAAATGAGTCTTTTTTTTTATCGTTGAGTTATTTAAAAAGAATTTCTTTTAAATTTCTGTTCTTATTTCCATTGAGTTATATAAGTTTTTCATTCTTTAGGTTTTTATTCCACTGATTTCTCTTAGTCTTTTTTTTTATTCCTTTTAACATTCTTTAAGTCACTACATGGTCTTTTGTTTATATCTCTATTTTTTTTTTTCTCGAGAAGGTTTATATCTCCATTTGATTGATCATATATGTAATTATTATCTTCATAATTATCATAAATAGCTTAAGATTTACGTTAATTTACAATAATCACTACATAACTATAGATCCTTCACCTTTAATTAAAAAATTATGTAAAAGTTTGTCATATTTAAATTTTCACATTAAATCAATAATTCAATATATATTCATAACCAATTTGATTTAGTTAAAAGTATGCTTCTTCTTTGCTGGGACCTTCGACTTATAATTCTCCTCCTATCAATCTCTCTACTTGCTTGATTATAATTTAGCTGGTGTAACTTATTTACGCTTACTTTAGTTAGTTTCTTTTAATATATTTATTGTATATATATAAAAAATAAAATTATATGTATGACTTGACAATAAATATCAGATTTCTCCCTAGCAATAAAAAGCAACTTACACATTCCATCTAGATTGGTGGTCTTTCCAACACCTGATTCCATGCCTTATTGGAGTTGACTGATGACCTTCCATAAGATCAAACAGCAGCTTCAGCTTAGTTGGGTAGTCAGTTATAAGAGTTTGTAGGGGAAGTGTAAATGTCCTTTATATATATATCTGGCATTTCTTATATTGCACTTCAACTTCTTATAACTACTTAGCCACCCATCTTCACAAACCCATCACCACACAACACCCAAAAAAAAACATGTGTCAGTGTTGCTGCTTCTCTGGTATGTTTGTTACCATTTTCTTATTTTGGTAATCACTTTTTTTTTTTTTATTCTATGTATATATAGTATTAGAGTCCATATATCCTTGTGAATGAGTTCTTTTAGGGTTACTAAAAGTAAATTTTTAATAATCAAAATTTTGGGAGTAAAATTTGTATTTGTAATGTATTTTTTATTCCACTTGGATCAAATTATTGTTTTGATGATGCTGCTAGTAGCGAAGTCAAGACACGAAGTTTTATTTTTTATTTTTATTTACTTAATTTAAACTTTTAAAGATTTTTCTGCTAATCTTTCTGAATTTAGATGTTCGAAAGTTTATCCTTTAATTTTAATTTCTTGATTCGATTTTGGATATTACAAGACAAATTTCGACTGATCTTTTTTTTTTTTTTAAATATGTTTAATTTGCAATGCTATAATGCAATATATGTTTATTTTGGTCATTACACTAAACAACAGCATCTTGATCTATACGAAATGGGTTCAGGAGGCTGTTTTAGGTCAATAATTAGCCTGAGGAAAGCCAAGGAAGACAGGTCCAAAAAAGTAAAAGTAAGTACAATTATTGAAATTTCCAATTTTTCCTTCTCCAATTCCAATTCAGCTATTTAGAGTGCTTAATCAGAATTGCAACTCAATCTCATGAAATCTAATTTTAGTACCATTGAACTGAAGCTAAACAAATCATGGGTAATTATATAATTGCAATTTTAGTCTAATTTTGGTCTTGCTTCTATTTGAGACAGGTACATTCAGATGCTGAAAAAACAAATGGGGCAGAGGAAAGTTCTAACAGTCACATAGAGTCAAATATTCCTGTTGTTAATGGCACAACAGAGGTTAACAATGGTGTGCCTGAGATTTCTTCAGAACATAAAGCTGCTATTCGGATTCAAACTGCTTTTCGTGCATATTTGGTAAATTTCATTAAGGTCCATATAATTCTAAATAAATCTTTTTTAGGGGTAAACATGAATGTCATTTTCTTTTCTTTTTTTTTTTTGAGTATTGGGGAGGGAGATTCGAATCTAGTTCTATTATCAGATCATATATAGATTTATTACCAGGCTATGCTTTGGAGCGCAATGCCATTTCCTTTTCATCTGATGTTAAAGTAGGAAAGAGCAATTGCAAAAATGGGAGGAGTTTGGTTTAGTTATTTCATGCAGCTATAGCTTACTTGTAAGCAGCAATTAGGGTAGATGAGTTTAGTAAAGATTTTAATTACCCCATAGATATTGAATTCCATGAATATAATAATTATAGTTTTACTAGTCATTTTATTTTTTAACAGCAATTATTACTAAAATTTTATCAAATATTCAGGATTCATTAGTTAACAATTACCAGGAACCACTCTCATCTATCAAATATCATAAATAATTAAACCAAATAAGCCCTTAATAACAATGCACAATTTTATAGCCTGAATACATAATTTAACCTTTGAAATTTAATAAAAAATCTTATGGTACCTTGAACTTTAAAATCGACCTTATAACATCCAAAACTTTTTTTTTTGTAATAATCCCACACCTCATCACAATCGAAATAACAAATTTTTAAGTTTTTGGCTTTCATATGCAAAATATTGATTTGATATGTGGTTAATACAACTTTTGAAACAATAATTTTCACTTTTTTCTATTATCCGATAAGGGATTAATCGATTTAATTTTATAAGTTAAAGTGTTCAATGTGTAAATTAAAATGTTTAAGAGATATGATTTTATCAATTGAAGTGTTTAATAGATCAAAGTGAAAGTTGAAGGTGCTATAAGATTTTTCATAAAAAATACATGGGTGAATTTATGATTTAGCCGAATTTTATAGTATGGTCTGGTCATTTTCAGGCAAAGAAAACGATGAGTCGTTTCAAAGGAGCAGTAAGATTTAATGTATTGATTCAAGGCAACGACACTCAAAAGCAAGCATCAAGCACATTGAATCATATACATTCATGGAGCAACATACAAGCTCAAATTAGGGCTCGAAGACACCATATGGTAACAGAAGGAAGGATTAAGCAAAAGAAATTGGAAAATCAGATCAAACTTGAGGCTAAGCTTCAAGAACTTGAGGTACCAATAACTCTTACCTACTTTGCTTTATGGCTTCTTGGGTTCCTTTTTTAGTTAAACATAAGCACAGTTGCTAGAGGATGTCTTCAATGATTCAATTTTTATAAGAACATAAAACCTCAACAGAAAAATTCTGGCTGCCTTCAATGGGTTCATTTTGCTTGTACTAACAAAGAAAATAAGCAGGATGGGGTTTCAATTAGTCTCAATCCAACTATTATAGACTCAGCAAACTGAAATTTTATAAGATAAAACAGAATTATAGGGTACAAAATGCACAAATTTTTAGCTATTTTTAAATTAACTCTGTTAGCTACTAATAATAAAGTTCTATGTCTGGTCTATACGAGTATTTGTAATTTTTAATATTATTATTAATGAATCATATTTTCAAAAAAAATGAACTAAAAATTTTTAATTTTTTTTCTATTAAATTTAAAATCGAACCAAATTAATTTATTTGGTCGGATTGGGTTGCTCATGCTCAAACCTATCAACATGAGTGTGCAAGGGAAAAGTGGATCAGTGGAGCCCATTAATAATCAATGAGCCTGGCCCATATTGGGCAGAGTAGTAGCTGTTTAGCCAAACTGCCATTGATACAAGTGGGACATGTCATCTGGTGAGCCTATTGGCAATTATTTTTGTTCCTTTTGGCAGAAAATTAATTTTTTGACACAAGTGGGAAATGTATATTATTTTTATGAAAAAATTACTGTAGGGTTTAAGTGGTCTGCAAAATATAATTAGTTTGTATTTATATTTTTAAAAATATATCGATTTTTTCTATATTTTGCTTCCATTATATTACTAGGTCTTTTATTTTTTTGTCAATGAAAAAAATAGAAGTTAAAAGGAGAGATTTAAAATTTTAATATTGAAAAATTACATTATTGTCCTTATGGTTTAAAAACTACAATTAGTCGTTTCTATGTTTTTTAAATATATACCAGAGGTAAGAAGAGATAAATTGATGTTATGAACTCTTAAATAAGGATAATATACGCAGGAATATTACAGTATATACTCGGTAATTTATTATGCAGTCGTTATATTATAATGGAATACATCTCAAGAACCATTGTTATCTTATTCGTAATGGTTTGTTTTTATAGGAAGAGTGGTGTGGAGGCTCTGAAACCATGGAAGAAATCCTTTCAAGGTTACAACAGAGAGAAGAAGCAGCGGTTAAGCGCGAACGAGCTATGGCATACGCCTTCTCGCATCAGGTCTAATATAACAATTATTTGCATTTCTTATTTGCGACTCGTTTGGTCTAAACTTAAATTTTGAGAAAAAAAAGTTTTATATTTTGAATTATTTTTTCTTTGCAAAAATGACAGTATGATCCATATGATTTAAAAAATACAATTAGTCAATCTTTGTGTATTAGGAAACAGAATAAAATTTTTTTATAGTTTACTTCTGTCAAATTATAAGATCATTTCGTCCAACTTTAGTATTTTTTTTCTCAAGTAGTGAAACACCTCTTTTTATCTTTTCTTATTTTTGGTAGACTAATTGTATTTTTCAAACAACAAGACTATATTGTAATTTTTTTTAGTATCTGACCTCTGTGTTTTCTTGTTGATTTAACTGAAAAAATATAAAAATTGGACAGAAAAACCTAAAAGTATAAAAGAAGCAAAATATAGGGACAAATTGCTATATTTTTAAAAAGATAAAAGATGAACTCTTATTTCGCAAACCGGAAGAAGCATACTATAATTTTCCTTTTTCTAAAATCAACTTTAGAATTGTAGAAATAATGTGACAATGATTTTGCAGTGGAGAGCCAATCCTACACAGTATCTAGGACAGGCTTATTACAGCATTGGCAAGGAAAATTGGGGTTGGAGTTGGAAGGAGCGTTGGATAGCTGCTCGCCCGTGGGAGATTCGAGTTCATGCTCTGCCTAACAACACAAAGAAAGGCCATACTAGCCAATTAAGCAAACCAGAAGTGAGAGTAACTCTCACTATCAAACCAACCATGTCAAATGGGAAGGGAGCTCCTAAAGCTAAAAGATTGTCCAGCTCCAACATAGCTCTTGATCATGAACCTACCCAAGAACAAGAAGCCAATTCTGCAGTAGTTAGCTCATCTCAGGCACCGAATCCAAGTTAATAGATTATAGCTTACCAAATTTCTATGAACTCATTCTGTTCTGTGGTTTTTCTTTTCTGTTTTTTTTTTTTTTTTTTCTTTTTCTTTTTTATAGCTACCAAATTTCTATGAACTCAATTCTGTTCTGGTGGTTTTTCTTTTCCTGTTTTTTTTTTTTTTTTTTTTATTCTTTTTCTTTTGGGAGGTTGTGGTGTGAATTTTGGATGCTGCGTGTTTTCTTTTCTTTTTTTTTTTTTTTTTTTCTTTTTCTTTTTGGGAGGTTGGGTGTGAATTTTGGATGCTGCGTGTAAATAAGGCAATAGACCTTTAAACACTGTTTGATTTGATCTGGGTTCGTGATTATTACACTAGAAATGCATTTAATTACATTGCAAGTATCCAACGAGGTCTTTAACCGAGAACTTTATTGAACACTTTGCAATATTGCTTTCATGTCGGTCAAGTTTGGAGTATTCGATCGTGATGAATCGGTTAACATGTAATATGTACGTTCAAAGATGGAAAATGGATCAATGGGTGAAAAATCGAGGCATAGAGCACCAAACCATAGCAGGAAATGTTTCAACTGTCATCTTTATATTTTTTTATTACTAATGCATTAAATTAAACACAAAGTGAGACCCAACTATCCTGTCCCATTATGAATTAATTATCCCAAGTCATTGTTTTATAAATAGGCAAAAAAACAACTAGAACACAGCAAGATCCTGCATCTCTAAACCCATGAAAGTCTGCATTTTTCTGGAAAAAAAATCACTAATTAAATATCCATAGTTAGCATATTCATCTAGCGGGCGCCGTATCCTCAGCAAGCTATATATACTAAACTTAGGATTATAAACTACTAATTAGTGATTAATCCATGCTAAAAAATATGCATAGTTTGATTAGTGTCTGACCTTATGATGCCTTTTATCGACAAGGATACTAATTTACCAATCTGGTATAAAGTAGCAGCCAGCATATATAAAAGTAAATGTCACAATCCCAATTGAAGCCAAGAGTTTCACTTTTATATTTTGGTGGTTTTCTCCCAGACAAAGAAAAAAAGAAAAAGAAAAAATTCCAGCTAGACTGGAGAAAGATTTTTATGAAGGGAATTAGATTTACAGGTATGTGTATGGTGGGGGACCAAAGGAAAAACAGGTGGCAAAGTAGCACAATTTTGGTGGTATCCATCTGTGTATTCTTCCATAATTGAGCTTTGTTTGTGTTCATCCCCATTCCACTTTCATGGTTGTTCCTGAAGATGTACTCCACTTAGCCCCACTTGGTCTACCTGCCGCTAAATTTATCTAAACTTACTGTACCATAGTCACAGACCATGACCTTTAGATTCTTTCACTACCTGATCTTAATGTAAAGGGCAAATCTGCAGCACTTGTTTTTCAACTCCCATCCTCCACTTATCTTTAAACCCCTGCCTAGATTGCTGGTCGCAGTTAGCTAACAATTAGATATTGATTGTTGGCCGTTAGCCACTTGAAGCACCATTGCCAACAACTAGAAATATCAGTATTTAATATCTTAAATGCCTGTTTGTTTAGATTGCTCGTCCCCTTCGCTAACAGTTAGATATATTAGCATTCGATATCTTTAAAGCCTATTAGATTGCTCGTTGCAGCTAGATATTGACGACTGAGAAACTAATTATTGACCACTGGCTTGCTGTGGGTGAGTTGTAAGGCCTATCACAAATCGTTAGCAATCAAACTAAACATTGAATTGCTAGCAATCAAAAGATGTAATATTCTTGAAATAACAATATCAAGAACTCATAAAGGGATGCATAGAGAATCCAGAACAGCAGTAACTTTGGTAATACACTAACGAGTACTTTCCTAACATGGGTTTTAGGATCTATGTTTTACTTAAACTGTCATATCTCTAGTTCTCTCACATTCAAGTCTAAGCAAAGCATAGAAAAATAGAATAAAGGATGAAAAAGAGCTGAATTAATGAAATCCAATTTCTATTATCAATCCATGCCCAAAAGCTAGCACTGTAGATAGAAAATGACTAGTGGTTAAATGCTCCCAGAAATGTGAGCAATGATAGAGATGTTAAAAATTGGTTATTCTTTCAATTCTTTTTGCAGAATTTAGGAAGTTGTTGAGGCAGAAAAAATCAGTAAAGCAACAAACAAAAACAATCACATTTGAGGAACTCTCTTTTTCATTTGCATGAAAACAAATTGACCATTTCTATACAAAGGAAAACACCCAGTTCTTTGTTTTGATAAAAAAGAAAGCAACAACTAGCTTTAAATCAAATTTTGTAGAGGTAGGCATTAAGGCAATTACTTCTGCAAAATTTCTATATTTGCTGATCTCAGTTTGCCTTTTTTTGTGATAATTTTTATTGAAATAATGCCAGATTATGCCTACCAGGTCTGCTCTATTAAGGAAAAAATAGGACTGTCTGTCATTAAAGCAAAACAGTTCTGCTTCTATCAGTTGACTCTACAAATGGAATCAAAAATAATAATAACTGAACATCCATCAACATACAAAAGCATTACTAACAACATAAACACACATGAAGCCAAATCCAATGCAAAAATTCAAACAAAGTTGAGCTCTGAAAGCTCACTTAAACATGGAAAATGAGAACAGAGTACTAGAAAGCAGGATAATAGAATAGAAAGCTAAAACAAACAAACCCGGAATCGAAAAACCTGAAAAAATCCTACTCAGATCTTTCTCTTCCCATCGTATTTGCCATTGATCCATTTTAGATGAACCAAAATCTCTCTCCTCTTAAATTCATCTTCTTTACTCTACACAAGTCCCTGCATAATAAAAACAATGAACGACATTGAAATGAATAACTAGATTTTAAGAAATATATGAATTTGAGAAATGGGTTTAAGAGTAATACCTGTTAGAGGTGAGATTTTTGGATATTCAATGGCGAGAATCAGAGGAAGCAGAGGACGGCTTGTTGTGAATGCTGTCGTGCTCCTCTTCTTCGCCTTGAATTCGTGCTGGAACTCGAAACCCGGAGAATCCGCCAATAGAGGCAGCGAATCCTGATATTGGTGATGGTTGTTGATGGATTTGTGGAATTTGGTGGTGATGATGATGATCGGAAGTGATTGATGGATCTATCCAAGCACGAACTGAAGGCGTGTTACTGGACTGAAGGGGTCCCCTCTGAGAAAAAAACTGGTTTTGCCCGAATAACGGCTGCAAAAGTGGCGGTGACAACACCGTTTGTGGTGGCACTGATGTGTTGAAGATAAACCCACCATTGCTAACACCACCGCCAATACCAGTATCAGCTGCACCGCCAGCATTCCAAGCTACCATTCTCTGGAATCTGCTAATTTCTGCTGGATGGCGATGGTGGTGCTCGGACCACCCAGCAGAAGGCCCATCAAATCCGATTTGATTTCCCGTTGTTCCAGACAAGAACAGTTGCTGTTCACCACCGTGATGATGTGGTGGTGGCGGTTGCTGGTGGTGCTGCAAAAGAATTGGTTCTTGAAATGACTGCAGCGAAAGCCGCAGATCTTGATTTTGACTACTGGTTCTTGATAGCAAATCCGGCGGGTAGCTCTGAAACTGTATAGAAGCGGAGGACGTCTCCGCCGATGCACCCATCGGAAAAAATGACTTAATTGTATCTGCAATGGCGTCCGAGTCTAATGATGGCGGCAAAAAACTATAAGTATTACTGGGATTTTCTTGCAGATGTTGATGTTCCATATTTTGAACATCACTGCCCACGGTTGAAGTTGTTGTCGCATTTCCTGCTATTGTTCTAGTATTGCCTCCACTAGAACCTCCAAGAACAGCAAGATTTTCCATCGAAAATTGATAATCTCTCTCATCACTAATTTGGTCTTGTTGAGTGGTGGTTCTAGTGGTGGCAACAGTAGTAGGAGTCCATGGGGGCAGTTCTGCAAGCTCATCTATGGCGGCTTTGGCTTTCTTGATTAACCAATCTACGGCTTTACTAGGACGGTCATAGCCAAGGCGGTCCTGCACATCATAGAACTGAATTGCAGTATTGGCTGATAGCCGGACACGACGGTCTCTCGGGCCTTTGGCCGTGCAAACTTTGCTGTGACGGTCTTTTCTTCCGGTGGAGCGAACAATGTGACCTCCTTGGACTTCCACTATTTCTCCTCCCGTGTTTCTTGCTCCAAGCCTTGATGATGTTGCTGCTTGGCGGTGGCTTTCTCCCATTTTCCTTGCATATTCGATGCTCTGCTCCGGCAAAGTTGAAGAAGATGACAAGTAAGATCGCTTCTTGGGTGGCTGTAATGGAGGCTGGAGTTGTTGTAAATCTAATCTTTGATAAAAAGATGGGCTTTGATGATCTTGTTGAACAAGAAATGGTAATTGGTGATGATAGAAATGTGGTTGTTGTTTCGGAAGCTCTTGTTGTTCTTCTTCTTCCTCTTCTACATGCCTTGAGTTTAGTACTGTTTCTTGATTTTCTTGTTCTTGTTGTTGCTGCTGTTGATGATGTTGATAATGGTGAAGAAGGTGGTGACTATGATGATTCCTTTGAGGATCCAGACTCAAGCCCTTTTTCTGTTCCAGCTTATAACAAAGGGCACTTTTGCTTTAGTAGGTGGTAGTTGTTTCTTTACTACTCTGTTTTTGATTCTGCTCTTTCCTAATCTCTTCTTGTTGCTTGTGCAACTGCTGCCACCACTCTGTTTCCTGTTTCTGTTCCTCCTGTTGCCTCTTCCAAAAGGTCCTGCCATTCAATTTTTCCACTTCCATCACACCTTCAAAACTCCACCACCCAAAAAGAAAAACCCAAAAAAAAAAAACCTTCCACCTCTATTTGCAGCCTAACCCATTTCTTCGCTCCTCTCTCTCTCTTCTTGGGGTCTAATAATTAGATTTCTTTCCTTCTTTTTCTTATCTAGTACAAGAAGAATTAAAAATGGTTTTCTTAACCAACAGCCACCAGACTTGTGGAGCCAAGAAGAAAAAAACTCTAAAAACACAATTTCTCTAAAAGGGTAATCAAGTTGAGAAATTTCCTAAAGCAATTTCCATGCTTTCTTGTATTGAGAGATGAGAAGTTGGGGATTGTGCTAGAGAAAGAGTAAATATAGGGTACTATACTATAGGATCAGGAAAAGAAGAAGGAGGTCTTGATTATGATGACAGTGGTAATGAGGATAATAGTAGTGTTTGGCCAGAGAAGAGATTAAAGATCTCTGTGATCTCATCACTGCCTCTCTGCCTCTACTGCTGCTTCTGCTGTTCTTTGTACTATACACTCTCCTACTGCCCAATACAAAACAACATCAATCCAAAAACTAAATCAAAAAAAATTATAAAAAAAAGTCCTCTCTCTCACCATTTGTTTCACATTTTTTTTTTTTATAATTTGAATGTTTTCTTTTTTTTCTCTCTCTCTCATTCAGTTCTTTTCAGATTTTTACTACTTAGCTAGCAGTTAGAATATATATAGCTGGTTATAGTTCTGATGGGAGAGAGAGTTTCTTGATGCTTTTGATATATAGATTAGATCCTTTATATGCCACCACCCACACCTCTTTGAAAGTGACCCTCCTTCACAGCTTTTTCTCTGCTCTCCCTTTCTCTCTCTATATGTATACATGTATTGCTTCGCTTAAAAGAAACAACACATCATTTTCTTTCTTTCTTTCCCTCAATTTCCTTCTCCCAACCTATCTTTTTCTGGTTTCTTGGATTTTTGTACATGGCATCTTACAAGGGGATGTGTCCTTTTTCTTTCTTTCTTTTCTTTTTTTTTTTTTTTCCCTTATTTTTATTAGGCAACATGAATATGATATAAATGTTATTTAGTACATAGTTTTGTGTATGTTCTTGTTTTGCTAGTCATTTCCATCACTCATTCACTATTTTTACATTCAATGATGATTTTTTGCCTTCTCACTGTATAAAATCACCATTAACCTTTTGGTTTCATCACGTGCCAATCCAACTTTAGATTGAACTACAAAACCCCTTTCTGTTTAATTAATTAGTAGACTGGTAAATCATTCATAAACAAATTGGAGAAAGGACATCTCTGTTTTTTATTGATTTGAAATTTGAAGGATTAAGATATTTGTGCAAAATTCAAGAACAAAAGAATGAAAATGGAATGTAATTAAGTGGGTAAATATAATTATGTCGCTAGATTATATTTAACATTAATTTCTAAAAATTAGTCCAAATGCTATGTTACAGAACTGCTTTTTAAGTAGCATTTAATGCACTATATTACATAACAGTTTTTTTAAGCAGTATTTAGTTTTTTGACCAATCAAAAAATTAAAAATTACCTAAAAAGCTGTTGCCGAAAACAATCATAATAAATTGATAACGAATTAAAATGGACTCAAACTTAACTTACAGAACAAACATGTATTCAATTAAGAAAAAAAATTAAAAAAAACAACTCGGTTAATACATGAATTTATCCCAGCTGAGTTTGTGACTTTTACATACAAGTTATTATTGCATAAAAAATAATAAAAAATATGATAAGATGTAATATGATAATAATTTTATGTGGATGATGAGGTTAATTTAAAGCCTAATTCTCTCTATAAATAGAATTATCTTATGTGCCAAAAAATAGTACTCCTTTCGTTCTTTTTATATGGACAAATTTTTATTTTTTGATAACATTAGAAAAAAAACCAATGTGAAAATCTCATATTATCTTTGTCTTATTCTTTGTAAAAATTTTATTATGGAGATTATCAAGGTCATGACTCACAAAAGTGTAGATGGACATTAAATGTGAAGGAAATTTGGTGATAGAGTTGTCATTCTCTAAATTTACATTGGAAAAATAAATACGGTCCAATTAAGAAAATTGTGCACAGATTGAAATGGAATTTGAGTTTTAAAATTACACAAAATTTAGAAATGGAGCAAAGTTAAGAGTTGTGATTCTACATTTTGGGTCATTTTTTGTGAAGTTACTCCATATTTAAATTCTTTGACGGTTACTCAAGTTTGTTGGACGAAATAGTCCTTTTTACACAACTTATACAAAGAAGGATCAATAATAAGTTTTCCTCAAAGGCTATAGCATAACTTTTTTTCTTTTTTTTTTTTGCGCTCATTTGACTTTCAGTCCAATTTATGATTTATGTGCACATTTTGTAGGACATGCTATTATATTTGTCCAAATTTGTGAGCAGTCAGTTTATAAATTGGATCCAATTTTTTTAGGAAGCCAACGTATTTATCAAAATTTCAACTAAGGATGCAAAATTGAGTTTCAAAATTTTGAATTTTTATTCCCTAATCAAATCTCTTAATATTCCATTTTTTTTAAGAAGACAATGCATTTATTGCATTATTTAACCAAGAAACATTATTAAAGGCAATTTTACATTTTAGAGGAGGAGTTAATGTGATATAGAAGTATATGAGGGGAAAAAAAAAAGGAAAAATATGATTTCTTAAACTGATTTTTTAATCTTGTGAAAACGCAGTTGTCTCAATATAAAAAGAAAGAAGGGAGTAATATTTTTTTTCTTTGATTATTAACTATGTGGTTTGGCATGATTATGATAGATTGATTTTTCAATTGATGGAGAAGTCCACTAAAATGAGTCAATTCTACTAATCAGAATGACTTCTCTCCACTTATAATTGGTTTATTTATGCTACTTAAATCTAGGTATTAGCAAATTGTAAAAATTGTAAATCATTATGAAGTCTTTCCACGCTTCTTTGAAAATCTAACTTCTTTCTTTTGTCAAGCTAAGAAATAGTCTACTCCCAAGGAAATTAAGATCATTTTCCATAAATTGAGACATATGATGCAAAATTTCTCTCTTGGAATAATTACACAATGAAATGAAAGCTTTGGTTCCCATTTCACATTTAGAAATTGATGTAGGAACATTAGGTTAATTGAATCTAAGAAATACACCCTCACTTTGATAAGAAGTGGCACAATTTTAATTTTTTTAAAATATAGTAAATTACTACTTTTATCTTTATTTTTTAGTATCTAAGTAAATATTAATTATTTAGAAAATTGATAAAAGGATAATTTAGTGAATTGTATTTTTTTTTTTTTTTAGGACTGACATGATTCAATGATTTCTCTTTTAGGAGATGATTTTTTTTTTTTTATGCTATTAAAAATTGAACACTTTCAATGGAACCGAGGTTACATGTATCAACAAGATCAAAGATTGATAAAAATAAAATAAAATAAAACAGATTTTATATAGTAAGTTGTAAGGATAAGTAAAATTCATTAAATCAGTAGAACCAAATTGGTCAGTTTGATTTAAATTTGTTTCTATTTTATAGAAAATTAAAATTCTTTCAATTTGCTTCAATTTTTTATGATGTAAAAAAAAATTAAAAATCATAAAATTAAATTGATTTAATCCAAAAAGTTAAGTCAAACCCAAAAATGAGACTTACACAAACTTGTTCAATTCAGTTCTAAAAAAATTTGATTTCTGATAGATTGAGAAAAATCTATCCATAGCCAGAGAGAAAAGGAACCTTTCACCTGTAAGCTGCAGCTACTCTGATGCTTTAGTAAGTACAATAATAAATAATCGTAATTGAATAAATATTATGTTGTATATTGTCAATTTAATCTCCTTTATACAGAGGTACAAAGAATTAGAGAAAATTATGAATGAAATTTCCTAATTCTATAAAGAAAGATTATATGCGAAATATAATTTTTAGTCCATGAAATATAATTAGGTCTTAAATATAAATTACAGTTAAATACCTAATAATGATTTGATTTCCTTTAAAGAAAAATCAATTAATATAAACATCAATATTAGGAGTAACCTAATCCGTCCAAAAACTTGTACTTTAAAATTCTATTTGGCTCATCAATCCGATGATTTATCCAAAAACCCAACCCTAAAGTCAGTCTAGGACGAGTCAAGTGGCTCTACAGTCACATCAAAACATATAAATTTGCATTAGATTGTCAATATATAAATGGCTCATTGAGTCATGGCTGTCAAATATCATGTGGGATATAGTTGCCTACAGGGTGTCATGGTCGAACCACCACTTTTATTTTGAAGGACTCAAATATTTAATTATTAATAATTTCAATTAAATTTTATATCTGAAACATATTAATAAACCTAATAATTTGTTTGTTACTTTAAAATTTTCTGAATGGACTTAAATACAAAGTATTTTACAGATTATATATATATATTTGGAAGAAAATGATCTTTTTATATATCTCAAATATGTAGTCCCCATCGCCTCTAATAATACAATACCTTTAATCAAATAAGGCAACGAATTAAAAGAGGTAAAAGAAAGAAAATGATGGTGGAGCTTTTGATGA